GAATCTTTGTAGGGATAGGAAGGTGGAAGACAACTTAGAACCTCAGCTGTGGGATAGGAGAGCAGCGTTCATCATGAATTTGCTGAACCAGTGTTGACTGGAAGTGAATGTGGTTGGCTCTTGGTCAGGTGTATATTAAGTTGGAGTAACAGATTTTTTGAGATGCTATCATTATTATTCAAACCTTTCTATTGCTTCCCAGACCACATGACTAAAAGCAAAAGTTGACTAGGCAAGCAGTATAAACAGTGGGGATTACTGCCTCATAGGTTGTGAAAAATATATGTCGCTTTTGTCACTGCTCACACCAAACCCAACCAAACCCATTGCCATCAAGTCAATTCCAACTCATAGCAACCCTATAGGACAGAGTAGAACTGCCCCATAGAGTTTCCAAGGAACACCTGGTAGATTCAAACTGCTGACCTTTTGGTTAGCAGCCATAGCACTTAACCACTACACCATCAGGATTTCTGACTGCTCACACAGTATTTAGTAAATACTATCAGGTAACTAGGAGCCCTGATGGTACCATGGTTAAGCACTCAGCAGCTAACCCAAGGGTTGGTGGTTCGAACCCACAGAGCATCTGTGCAGGAGAAAGACCTGGCGATTTGCCCCCATAAAGATTATAGCCTAGAAAACCCTATGGGCAGTTCTACTCTGTCGCATGGGGTCGCTATGAGTCACAGATCAACTCAGTGGCACTCAACAACAACATTAAGTAACTGAATGATATATATTTTTTCATACACATAGTATCATGACCAGTATTGCAAATATTCCAAGGAAGTTTTTGATTGCAAACATTTTTTGCTTTGTATTCATATTGTGTGTTTTCAATGGACTCTGCAGGCTCTAGAGTGATAGACAAAATGAAGAATGACCACTGGATATTGAAATGGAGGACAGCCTATGAATTCCACAAGTTCTGATTTTTGAGGGGGAGCTATTTTCCATTTATCATTCTTGGGTGGTAACAGTGGAAAATTAGCTAAGAGAAGTAGTGGTGGTTCAATGACAGTGGGTGTATTCTGTTTGAAGACCTTCAGTGGGTAGATGGGTGTCTTGGTTTTACTAGCGTGTCATGATAAAAGAAGTATTTTACAAAACTTGCAACTTTATAGTTAATGGACATTGAGTTTTGTTTAACCTTTCTGGACCTCACTTTTTGGATCTAGAAAAAGAAGATAATAACTATCTCATAGGATTAAATGAGATGTTTATGAAATGTTTAACTCATTATTTGGTATATAGTACGTGCATAATCATGATCAGGTTTTATCTTTTTCCCCTCTAAATGGTAGCTGTAATTACTATTCTTAACAGAGTGTGCAGAAGAGTTGGAGGACTCATAAGAAAGGAATTTAGTAAAATATAGTACAAGTACGATGTCATAGAGGGAAAAAGACTGATTTGAGTAGGCTAATTTTTTTTCTTACATGATTTCTACAATGATGTAGGGAGAGCAGGTAAAATTACCCGCATTTTACAGCCAAAGAAACAGAAGCTTAAAGAAGTTAAGTGTTGTTGTTAGTTGCCGTCCAGTCATCTAACTTGTGGCGACCCATGTGTGCAGAGTAGAACTGCTCCCTGGAGTTTTCAAGGTTATGACCTTTCATAAGCCGATTGCCAGGCCTGTCTTCTGAGATGCCTCTAGGTGAGTCTGAACCACCTACCTTTTGGTTAGTGGTCCAGCATTTAACCATTTGCGCCACCCAGGGACTCAAGCAGTGTAACCAAAGACAGAGCTAATAAGTAGCTGAGTCATGATTTGAACACCTAGATTTGTCTTATGTAAAAGCATATTATTTTCCCTCAATCTCATGTTGCTAGAAATAAGATTTTAATATTGGTGATGCAAAGATGGAATAGTTGTCAATGACACGAAAAGGGAAAACAATGAAGGATCTAAAGAAAGAGAAGTCAGAGATCCTGCTTAGGACGTGGAACCATGGCACCAAACTTGATGGCTTTGGCCAAGGCCTCAAGCAACCACTGCAGATCATTTCTTCGCCATAAAGACCAATAGCAGATCCTTTCAGTGCCAGGGCCAGGAGCAAACACAGGAAGGATGAAATACGGAGGGACAGATGTAATGGGCAGGGGTAGGAGTTTTTACCAACATGCTGCCAAGATAATTTTTTCCTTCCCAATGATAAAAAAATTTACATATGTTCCCTGAAAGTTTCTTTACGTAAGAGTTTTAAAATATATATATATATATATATATATAAACTTTCTTTATTTCTAAGAGAATAAATAAAATTAGCTTTGAAATTTCCATTCCATGAACCTAAAGCTGGAACTTTTTTTTTTTTTGGTAGGCAGCCATGCCCCATGTCTGTATGAAAATGAGAGCGTGAAAGGAAAGTGAAACTAAATTGTACACTGAGGTTAGAGAGAAATTTGTAAACTGAAATGAGTTTCTACAGGAGGCCAAGTATCCTCAGCACTTTGGGGCTATCCATTCTTCTAACCTTTCCTTTCTGAAGGAAACTGAAACAGTATGTTTCAGCCTTTTGGAATAAAACAATTAATACTGTTGTTAGGTGCGGTCGAGTTGGTTCTGACTCATAGCGACCCCGTGTACAACAGAATGAAACACTGCCTGTTCCTGCACCATCCTTACAATTGTTGCAATGCTTGAGCCCATTGTAGTGGCCACCGTGTCACTCCATTTTGTTGAAAGTCTTCCTCTCTTTCACTGACCCTCTACAAAAAGATAAAAATAAAATAATGGAAGCTACTAAAGAAAGATAGAGCCAAAAGTGGGAGTCATCATGTCAACATTCAGATGGTAGATAATAAATATTTTTGGAAGCTCAGGAACAAGTATAACATTGTGTCCTAGCTAATTGTTCAATTAATGAAAGGCATTGATTAAACCGACAACAAGAAGAGTTGTTTTTCTTTTTTAAAAAGGCAAATTTTTAAGACTTCAAAGGGAGGGAGAGATCATAGTCGCTAAAGTTTCTGAACTGGTACAAATAAGATGGAGAACAACTGTCCTTGCTCTACTGTGTTCCCTACAGAGAGACAGCATATCCAGATTTTCTAAAAAGGAGATAAAGAATGAGTGGCTAAAGTGTGTGATTCTTTTGAGAAATAACGGTCATCTTGCGCCTGTCAAGGTAGTTGGGAGATAAGAACAAATGGAATTGAACTCAAGGGGTTCTGTTGCCTTAAGGCTTTTTAGAGTTTGTTTTTGATTGCTGTGTAGCATCTTTCAAATCTTTCTGGAAACTCTGATATGTCTTTGAGACTCTACTTAAAAAGCTGAGACATGTCTTGGAGAGCCACTAGGGCCGGAGGGACCAAAAAAAGAGGATAAAGGGAAAGACAGGCATTTCTTCCCTTAAACTCTGTATCAGCTTTTACAGCCATCTGTGCAGCTGCCAAGCAGAAATAAAATAAAAAGAATAGTAAAAAGACAAAGTAGCACCCAGAGAAGGGAAAGCAACAAAGCTAGGCAGCATTTAAGTGTAGGATATTTCATTTGAAAATGTCTTCTATAAAAAGCAATTACGGATGTTGGTGATGGTTGCACACATGATGGATGTCACTGAATTGTACACGTGAAAGATGCTGAATTGGCAAACGTGTTATATGTATTTTTACAAAAGTAAAAAAAGCAATTATAAACAGACCTATTGATTAGAAAAGCAAGTTTGTATTTATCTGGCATGCAGTAGTATATGCGATGCCATCTATGCTGTGTGCCTTCCGTGAAGAGATTCAGTGTGTATGCTGCTTTCTTGGAGAATTTTTAAGTATTTGGGCAGTACGTCAACCATTTTTGGCTACTGTAAGTTTCCAGACTGCCTATCTGTAGCACACAGCAGTGTTCTGCCTAGAAGAAGCCCTTTTACTGATTTTGTATGTAAAGCTTCCCCACCTTCGCCACCCCCCCACCCCCCCACCCCACAACTACCGAGGATGGCCCTGGGCGACTAGAGTTGCTCTGTCTTCAGGCACAGAGAGCCTGGAAGTGCCTTGGAGTCGATGTCCCCCTAAGGTGGCCTGTAGTCATTGTCTGAGTGGTACAGAAGTATGAAAGCCCAGTTCTTTCCTCAAGGGAGGACAAACTCTAATGTAATTTACATTTCACAGATCCCTGTGGGATCAGGCTGAGGCTGGGATGTTGCTTGAAATAACACCCTTGATTGACTTCTTCCCCTTCCCTGCTCTGTTTCCCCTACTCCCTTAAGAGATTCTCCTGGAGCACATCTTTAATAACCCCCTGCACGTGAATCCTCATCTCAGCGTCTGTTTCTGGGGAACACGACCTGAGGCAACCTCTCCTTCTATACACACCTAATTGGTCTGAGAACCATCTCAAGCATCCTCTTGAAATATTTGTTGTGTGTAGACCTGATGCCACAGAGTCAATTCCTACTCTAGCAACCCTGTAGGGATAGAGTAGAACTCTATCCCCATAGGGTTTCCAAAGGAGTGGCTGGTGGATTCAAACTGCCGACCTCTTGGTTAACAGTTATCCTTAGCCACTGTGCCGCCAGGGTAGGTACTGTAAAAATGGGTAGATCTTCTTACCACACCCAGCCACCAGAGTATACTAGGATTTTGGGGTGTTTTGGTAGATAAAAATTTAAATTTCATGCACAGAAGATACTGTGGCTATACAAAAGGATAATCAAATAAGTGTTCTTGCTGCACAAATAAAGGATTACTCAATGTATTCTATAACAAAGTATATATTTATAAAGATTTTCTAATAAAATAGTTTAAAAAAAATCAAAACAATAGGATTGGTTTTCAGTTAAATGCAATCTCTGGTAAAAAAACGTTTTATAGACTCATAGATTCATAGTTTGTTTTTCTCAATCATGACTTTTATATAAAGTATATGGGAGTAGGGTATCAAATCTAATAAACTGTATTAATTTCTTTCTTATACGATCAATTGCTAATATAATTCCTATAATTAAACCAACTGCTTTATGGAAATACAATGATGTCATCATTTAAATTTTTTATAGACAGAAAAACTGCTTCATCAACCTCATCCAGAAGTCACCCAAGTTCTAGCTGCAGTGAAGATGAATCTTCAGTGGAGGACAGGGATGCACACAGTGAAAACAGTCCAGAAGAGAGTGCCAGAAGCTCATCTTCTCGGGAGCTGAGTGAAAATGATGAGCCAGGAAAATCTCATCTTCCAGTTGAGGATTCCCTAGACGTTGAAACTGAAGACGAAAAACTAATAAAAGCAGATGTGGAGACAAAGCCAGTGCTAGTAGAAGAAAGCTCTGAGAATGTTCTTAAAGAAGAAATGGAGAAAGGGGCCCGACTGATTGCAGAGGGCATATCTACGAAGTCCAGGGAGCATGTTTCCAAGGAAGAAAAGGAAAAGGATAAGAGTAAGCTTTGGGAAGGAAGCATTGCTAAGGCAGAGGATGAAAAGGCAGGTGCCCCTGGGGTAGACAAAGAAGGTGGTAAGTACAGCCATTGAATTGAACCACCATTGTCCTTGCGCATGGAAGTTGATTTGCTCATTGCATTCTGCCAAAGCTTGGGGTGTACAATTGTGATAATGCCAGAGAGATTAAATTCTTTTCCTGTTCATCTCTTCATTACATAATCATACATGTATTTTCAGCTTGCTGTTTTCCTTCTATTGCCTTTTGAAAATTACTTGATAATTCTTATATAGCCTATTTCATATTTTCTGTAAATTCTATACTAATTCTATCTCAAGAATCAAATAAAACACAATACATGTCTGAAGGCAAAGATATGTGTGGCTTTTTAGAGATTATTTAATACTAGCAATGCTACTTGTTCTTAGCTATATATGCATTTACATATACACAGCTGACATTGATCAGCTGCTGACTGCATACCAGACACTGTCATAAATGCTTACATGTATTAACTCATCGAATCCTCACAACAGCCCGCTCTTCCCATAATTAGGTTCTATCATTATCATCTCTCTTTTGCAGATGAAAAAATTGTGGCTTGGAGAGGTTAAATAAATTTCCAAGGATTATACAGCTAATAAGGGGCAATCCCAGGTTTGGATTCAGGCCAAATAGTTCCAGAGTTCCTAAAGATTTCCTATTTTATCTGTTCAATTTAGGTCAAAATATAAATATTTAATAAAAACTCCAAACTTCTCTTTGAGTTCTTCTCTGAAACTGAGTACTTCTTGATCCATGGGTTCCTGGTTATGTAGATGGTTCCATCTGACACGGGGAAGGGTGAGGGGTATCAGAATAATCAGTCCCCATACCTTGGACAAATGGAAGGTCTTACACTTTTCACGACTTTAGGAGGAAAGTTAAAGGCCTGAGTTGTGTCCTGTGGACAGAGCAGTTGGATTGTGCCTACCAGACTCCTGGATCTCACATAGATAGCCTGAGCTCTGTAATGGGTACCATGGTCTTTTCCTGCTCTGTCTCATCTGTCTCCTCCTGCCAACATGGTGGGCATTCTTCCTGATTCCAAAACATAATTTTGTTTTTACATTTAAATATTTCTAAAATCCAGTTGTGTTTTAAAACTTATGAATGTATTTAGTGTCTATAATGTTTCTCTTAAAAACCTATTGCCATCGAGTTGATTTCAACTCATAGAGACACTATAGGACAGAGTAGAATTGCCCCATAGGGTTTCCAAGGCTGTAAATCTTTACAGAAGCAGACTGCCACATCTTTCTCCCACAGAACAGCCGGTAGGTTCAAACCACCAAGCTTTCACTTAGCAACAGAGCGTGCTTAACCACTATGCAACCAGGGCTCTTCAATGTTTCTTTTAGGCCCTTAAAATCTTTTATTAAATCACTAGGACCTGCATCTAAAAATGGAGGACTTTGAATAAGTATCTTTCAATTCAAGTATTATTAATTTCCTTCTATGTGAAAGGCAGCATGTTTGATAAGAAGTATGTAACAGGGGGTTCCTCTCATGAAATGTTAGGAAGAAGGGCTGGCACACACATGACTGGACAAAGATCAGTAGTGATAAGTAAAATCAGAGAAAATACAAAATTCTATGGGGCTTCAAAGGAAGAGAAGTCCTATTTGGTTAAGGACATCATGAAAGTTTTCATGAAAGAAGTGTTTAAAGAAGACTTTAAAAGTTAGGTAAAACATTGGAGGGTGAGATACGGGAAGATAAACGCATTCCTGGTAGTGGGGTATTAGAAGGGATATGATCTTGGCACAAGTTAATGAAAATAATTCTACAATGAAAGTTGGCAAACTATGGCCTATGGACCAAATCCAGCCTGCCACCTGTTTTTGTATGGCCTGCAAACTACAAATGGTTTTTATATTTTTAAATAGTTGAAAACAATCGAAAGAATATTTCATGTTGTGGAAATTTTGTAAGATTCAAATTTCAGTGTCTATAAATAAAGTTTTATTGGAACACAGCCATGCCTATTTGTCTATATATCATCAGTGGCTACTTTTGCACTAGAATGACAGTGTTCAGTTATTACAACAGAGACTCCATGGCCCGCAAAGCCTAAGTACTTACTATCTGACCCTTTACAGAAAAAGTTTGCCCACGTTTGCCCTAGAATTATAACACAAAGACTCCCCATATTTTGAAAAGGAGTTCATCATATATGTGTCAAAATCTTGTTAAAGTATATTTGAAACCCTTGTATAGAATAATTCAAATCTTTGATCTTGGATTTCATTTTTCAATTCTTAGTACATATGTATAATCTAGAAAATTTGTACAATTTAGCAAGCTGCTGCTCAAATCCAGTAGAGGTGTTAAATTTCAGTAGTGACATTGGCATGATGTTTTTTCTATTTTCACTTCAGAAAACTAGATCGTTTACCTGAATTCATGTAAGTAAACATCTCTTTGTAAAATAGGGTGCATATAATTAGGTTGTAACTAGGCGATGGCAGAGGAACAGTGATGTCAGACTATGATCATGTCACCTAGAAGAGAGTAGTTTTGTTTGTTTGTCTTGTTTCTATTTGTTTTGGATTTGTGAAGCCCAACTGTATTGCTTTATTATTTTTCTCAAACACACTGGGAATCTTGTGTTCTTGACTTGATAACACCTATAGTTGTAAAACATTTTGTTATCCTTTTATTAAGGTGTATTTAATACTAGATGGCTGAGTTTGTGACCATTTATCTTTGCTAAGATCTAATATATGTACCAAGTTTCTTTAATTAATATTTATTTTTTATTATCAGCTTATTGTTTACATATGAAAGAACATTAAAAAAATAGATTAACATATTTTTGAAAAATTACTCATAGGTTTATCACACCCAAAATATCACTTTCAACGTTTGGTCAGGCTTTTTATTTCTAAACTTAGGGCCTATAAAGTATGTTGTCATAGTTCTGTAAAATGTTGTATTCTACTTTTTATTCCTAACTTTATAAGTATTTTATGTATTTTTATGTAATCTTTATAAACATGTTTAAAGCTTGTTTATTATTCCATCCTGTGCTTTTCTCATAATTTTACCATTTCCCTATTGTTGAGTATTTTTATTTTTCCTATTTTGACTATTATTAATAACACGTTAGTGAGTATTTTGTTACCTAAGGTAATAGCAAGTTTATAATTATTTTCTTCAGATAGGTTTCAAGACATATAATTTCTGGATCAGAGGTTATAGACAGTGCAAGGTTTTTGATAAACTTTTTTCTTACAAAATTTTGGTCAAGTTTAAACATTACAGAGTAGACAAAAATAAGTGAAGAGCTAGCACCCTTCTTGTCCAACCAACCTCTTCTCTTTTTTCCCTAGAGATATTTGTGCATAACACTTTTTGTGTGTGTGGGCATAATTCCAGAAATTTCTATGTAAATACAAAAATCTATATATTACTTTACTTGTAAATATATTATTTTTATACACAAATGGAAACATATTGTTTACTAACACTATATATTGGATATCTTTTCACATCAACACATAATTCTACTTTATTCTTATTTACGTTACATAGTTATTCCATTGTATTGCCTTAGTATTTTACAACTTTGCAAATTTACTTAAAATATGCTGCCTTCTGTGCAAGAACTTATAGTTTAGTTCTATTGCCCATTTTCCATGAAAGAACAAAATTTCAGGGTTACAAAAGCCAGAGGCAGAGAACATAAATCGCCCTGGAAATAAAACATTAATAGGTAAAACAAAGCAAAGGCCATGTAAAATACGCAGAATGATGTAGGAGGATTAACGCTATCAAAGCCTAAGGACAACAGTTGGGTGCTAATGTTTTTAAAATGTAAATACTCAGGAAAACAACGCAATAAATTTGTAAATATTTAAAATAGTGGATTAAGAGAGATCATAAATATTCTGGAAGTTCTTTATATGAATAAAAATCTCTTAACAGTAATTCAGATAAAATCAATCAGGTCTCAATTGCATAGTTCATTATAGTCATATAGATGCCAAGCAAAGAGGTTATAGCTAGTTCGTCTTTCTTAACTGAGTCTTTAGTGAGATTGTTCAAGGAGTGAGGGATGGATCCACAGTTATATGCCTGAAATGGAGGGCCATATAGGTGGCTATGCTACAAAATACAGCTTATATAAATTAGACCAGAAGTTCTGATGAAGTCATAAGATTTAAATATGTCTATTTTACTGGGAGCCCTCATGGTGCAATGGTTAAGAGCTCAGCTCCTAACCAAAAGGTCTCCAGTTGGAATCCACCAGCATCTCCTTGGAAACCCTGTGGGGCAGTTCTGCTCTGTCCTATAGGGTTGCTATGAGTTGGAATTGACTTGACAGTTTTTTGGTTTATACTTTACTTAGATCTCTGAAAGAACCTTAGGCCAAAATGAAACAGGAGCTGAGATAATGTGTAAAGGACTGTCATGTTTGCATGATACTGAACTAATCATTTTTCAATTAGACTTAGAATAAAAACTGTAATTATGTTAACAATAGATCTATAGACTAAAAAAATTATGTACAATTAATGACTTTTTGTAGTCTCTAAACTAATACAGGAGGAGCCCTGGTGGCACAGTGATTAAGCACTTGGCTGCTAACCAAAAGGTCTGTGGTTCAAGCCCGCCAGTTGCTCCCTAGGAGAAAGACCTAACGGTCTACTGCCATAAAGATTGTGTAATGTGTTGTTAGGTGCCATCAGGTCAGTTCAGACTTATAGTGACCCTATGTACAACAGAACAAAACACTGCCCAGTCCTGTGCCATCCTTACAATCATTGCTATGTCTGATCCTATTGTTGCAGCCACTGTGTCAATACATGTCCTTGAGGGTCTTCCTCTTTTTCACTGACTCTCTATCTTACCAAGCGTGATGGCCTTCTCCAGGGACTGATCCCTCCTGGTAACATGTCTGAAGTACATGAGACAGAGTCTCTCCATCTTCGCTTCCAAGGATCACTCTGGCTGCATGTCTACCAAGACAGACTTGTTTGTTCTTCTGGCAGTTCGTAGTATATTCAATATTCTTCGCCATGACCATAATTCAAAGGCATCAATTCTTCTTCGGTCTTCCTTATTCATTGTCCAGCGTTTGCATGCATATGAGGCTATTGAAAATACCATGGCTT